AATTACAGTAGTTAGTAATTACCATATATAGTACAGTACTGTATTACCATATAGGTAATATGAGTAATTGGACAACCCTCTTGTACAGTTTATGACAAACTGATCAAAAGACATCTTACAGTTATCACATCACAACATAGTTATACATCTTCCAGTTATCACATCACAACACTAGTTATACATCTTACAGTTATCACATCACAACACTAGTTATATTTTACACGTAACTAGTATCTTCACTATAAATTCATGTTTTCATTTTAAAACTATAGGTGAAATGTCCTGAGAATGAAAGAAACTTTCATGAAATTTGGCTTTTGTGTAATTTTTCTTATTAGCTTTGCAGTGTATGTGCACTTAAATGCTCATAATTTCTTCCCCAGGCATTAAGCATGGACATTCCAGCAGGTGTCAATGTCCATGTACTGCATGCATTTTATGGCTACACTGCACTTGGTGGAATAATTTTATTCCTTTTCTTGGAACGCTTCCACAATATCTTTTGTGGAAATGGCCATGCTCATGGACATAGCCATGAACTTGCAGTTGACCTCACAAAGAGTAAGGTGAGTTAATAATATAACTTGTATTGAAAGTTTTTATTGTAAATGTATTTAAACCTTTTTATATGATATAATTAATTATATACATTATATACGATGATCACTCAGTTTGAGCAAGGTTTGGAGAGCGTGTATTCTGAGACGAGCATATTATTTTTTAAGACCCAAATTGTGAGTGTGCCGAGGTGTGATTCACACATGCACGAGTTATTGGACCTGCATGAGAGCTAGTATGGTGTTGTGTGAGTTGACCTGAGTGTGGCTAGTCTTTTCTAGCCACACACTTTACATTTCATGCCACTTAGATCACAATTCAAGCCGAATACTTGCAGCCAAGTTGCATTCAAACTGGGAGATGAGTTATATTTTGTTGACCTCCATGGATATGATACATTAGTCATGTTTTTTTTTCACCCGCACCAATTTCTTAATCCAGCCCAAAGATCAGGGTGTCATTAAGACCTTTAAAACACATTACCTGAGGTTGACATTTTCTCAGTATCCTGGGGCTATAGACAGACCAGCTAAGCCACTGTATCATCAGGGGATATAGATATGAATATGAGGGAGTGGACCATGCAAACTTTGTCTCTGCTCTTTAGAAGAATTAAGCAGACGCTCTAGGCAACACAAGACATTAACTACGGGCAAAGTTTGCAGACTGGTGGGAGGATTATAAAGGGTGTTATTGCCCCCTTTCAAATTCATTTACCAGGAACAATAGTTTGCTTTACCTTGCATTTTTATTTAAGTTGTATGAGAACTATGTACACAAAATCTAATAAATTATACATTGTTGCAAATATTTTGCATATACAGGTTGTAGTGTAATTTGAGTATAACATATTATGACGTTTTATTGCACAACAAAAGTCACAATATCGTTGAACATTATTGCGCGGCCTCACTATTTATTCACAATATTATTTATTTCTAGGAAGATATAGATAAAGAAACGGTTGGGACAGCAACGACTACAGAGGATACTGGGAGTCAGAATATTGACAAGATAGGTGAAAAACTGTCTAAACATTCCAAGCATAATTCCTTCATATATGCTGAAAGCACCATGAGTATGTATAGTACTGTGTTTTGGATTGTACTCAATGTTTACTCATTATACTACATAGTATTTATTAGGTTTTCTGTACTCATTATTTGCTGCTCATTATACTTTTAGTAAAACTATTTTTTACCAATTATGATCCTTGAACTCAATATATATATATATACCGAGTACTAATTGAAATTCATTGTACTCCTTGTATTCATTATACTAATTATTCATTGTTTTACTTACACTCTGCACACACATCATACTCTGTTCTTTTATCCATTTAGCGTGTTGTACTTCCTGGATTCATTAGCTTCTCTGAACTCATTACACATATTTCATCATTATTTAGTCAGTTTTCAAAACTTATTGTAGTTTCCGAACTCATCAAGTATTTCTTTCTACTGGGGGTTATAATCTCTGAACTCATTATGCACTCTAAACTCACTATGGTGTTTGAGTTTATTATACTTTCTAACATAATTTTACTAGTTATATATATATATATATATACTTTTGTGATTGATAAACACATTACAGCCTCTTGTAATTATTACATCCCATGCAGTCACTATGTCACTTTGTATTTGGAGATATGCTGGCCCAGGATTTAATTGGCTAGAATCAAAATGTATCTAGTTGAATTTGTGCTTGACATTTCCAAAAATATCTTATAGGATGTGGAAAATCCACAGAGAAATGGGAAAGGGAGATGAATGTTTCGGCCGATCAAACGTTGGAAATCAGCCGAATTTGATCGGCCGAAACGTTCACCTTCCTTTCCCATTTCTATGTGGATTTTCCGGATACAAATGATCAGTACTTCGTGATCATCAATTGCATCTCATAGGATATGTTTTGAAAACTGTATAACGTGTGGAAAATAATTATATTACCGATAATTAATTTTTCAGCACTGGATGCTCAGAACTGTTTTGAAGGCTGTAGCTCCGGCCCAGGTAGTGATGCGAATGGTAACACTAACAACGGCTTAGAGAGACCCAGGTTTGGAGAAGAGGAGGTGCCACCATCCATGCCTGAAGAGACGGAAGTTACGTGCATCGAGAAGTCTATGGAAAAGGAAAAGTTGGCATCTAATGCAGCAGAGAGAGAGAGATTAGTTACCACTCCTGCAGAAAAATCAGAAATGGTACTTGATTTCTTGTATGGTTTTCTTATGTAATGTATTTTGCTGTCACTACTGGCAAGTGTGGATTGAAGTCTACAATATTCCCTCATCGCATTTTTCTGAAGTTGTGTAAAGCCAATGACTAGGATAATGGGGAGGGAACTAACTAGAAAGGTATGCTTTAATTGGATAACTTAAATGTTTCTCATGTTGTAGCCTTCAGACAAATTCCAAACAGTAAGAAGGGTCATAAAAACTATATATATTGTATAGTACATGTTTCATTCACCAGTGTAATAATGGGGACCAACCATACTGTACGTGTCTACACTGCCACTCTAGGCAATTAGAGCATAGGATGCCATCAAACTTAAGGGAAAGCCAGAGGCCTCATCCATTACCCATCTTGCACTATGAACTTTGCTAAGGATCTACTTCAGTATCCCTGCAATAATTTACTTATATTCAGTTTTGTAAGTTCTACTTTCCAAACTCAGCCTGGGATCAGGCTTGTCTGGTGATAACTTCATCAGTCAGATTGATGTTGCTTGCAGCTGCCTGCGGGCCTACATAATATTGCAACCCAGCTGATCCAACACTTGCTGTATGAATTTATCCAATTCCATGTTAAAAACATCCACCTTTGTTCCAGCAATACAGTGTTTCTTATGCTTGGTGGAAGGAGGTTGAAAAGCTGTGGGGCCTCTTGATTTTCAGGCTGGAAGTGTTCTCATGATTGTGACTATGGCACCTCTACTCTTCACTAGCTCTATTGTGTGTTTCCTACCATATCTTCTGCTCATAAGTATATTGTGCATATTTGGGAGCTGACCTTCAAGTATCTTCCATGTATGTATTATGCTATCAAAATAACCTTTCGTCTTCTTGCCAGTAAGGTTATTTTAAGAGCTTGAGATGGTCCCAGTAATTTAGGTGTTTGTCTGTGCATGCAGTATATGTTCTCTGTCCATTCCTTTTACAGTATTTCGTCAATCTTTTCTGCCTTGAAAGGTTCTCATAATCAACCCCCTGTTATTTTCCTAATTGATGCTACATTTGCTCGGTATTTTCACTAAACGTTAGGTCATCTGACATCATTACTGTATTCCTAAATCCTTTGCACATAATTTCTGCTCTATGAGGAGATATGAATGCATCTTGTATCTCCTTTAGTTTCTTTGTTTTCCATTTCCAAGTACTGTACTCTAGCTGGAATTTATCTCTGTTGAATGTCATTTTTGTTTTCCGTTGTCCATTGGAAGACATTTTTGTATATTTTGGCGAGTTTTCAGTCTTTTACTGAGGGAATATTCTAATATTTGTATAGTCTGCCAAGGGTGACATGAAACTGTGATTTGTGTTTTCGTTTATGTCTATGAGGATGAGAGAGTATTGATGCAAGGACAGTCTGTGGTCTGGTTTTGCCCCCAATGCACAGGTGGCCATTATCTCATCTTCCTTCGTGTGTGGCTGGGTGCAACTTGCTTCAGTACCTGCTATGAAACTGGCACGTCTTGAAGGTCTGAATTGGATGTGATCTTTACATACAGATCCTATTTTCATTTCCTAACATGAAGAGCTGGCTTCATCATGACTAACAGACAACCTTTTGTTTTCTTTGGGCAGATGGCAACTTTTGTCCGCAGATGCTGGATTAGGGGAAGGCTGCTCTGAGTTTTCAGATTTTCTCAGAGACCCCCAGTAGCTCCCTGTCCCAACCCTGTTCCTTTCTTCCCTGTGGGGCTATGAGGTTTAGCATTGGGGACTCCAGAGTGTGATCTGGAGTCACCAATGCAATGACCTCACTCCAGCCTGACTCCAGTGGGCAGGCTGGCTGAGACCATAGGTGATCTGGACTACTATCTCATGGCAGTCAGGTGCATCACAGTGAAGGTATTTACCTCTTGGTAAGGATAGTCTTCCTTGATTACCTAGGGATGCCTAATATCCTTCAAGTTGCTTGTTTTGCTGTACCTATGCTTTCTGATTGGTTCCCCTAGTTTTGTCATTGGTCTGAGATTCCTTGCTTTCCTTTCCCCTGTAGGGTGAGGCAGATTCTGTTTCTGACATCTGTTAGGTCAGAGATGGGTCTCAAGAGGCCAGGTTTGTGGAACTAAGGCTTGGTGGTACCAGTTTAAATGCTTGGGAAGCTTTTCATTGTAATTAATACTCTAATATTTTTTAATGTTATAAATGGAAAGACCTGGTATTTTGAACTAGAAATGTAATTTAAAATGGTTTACATTGAACATCAGAGTGGGACCAAACATAAAATATAGCAATGCAGTGAAAGGATTGAGGAGGAAATATACAAATAACTGCATAAATGCCTTTCTTCTTCAAGCTCTCTAGAACCAATTTAGTTTTTTTTTCATATGATCTATAACAATGAAACAGATATTTGTAAGTTTCACAAGGGGTCTCTTAGACATGTAAACTCACAAACTTATGGGGGGGTTTCCTGCATTTTTTATTTTCCCTTTCTCTTTAATATTTTCTTTATTAAAAAGGTATTAAAAAGAGACAAATGCAAGATACTAATAGTTTACTTATTTTGCAGGGCGGGGAACTGTCTCTTATACTAAATACACCTACCTCTACCCGCCCCAAAGTTTTAAGGCAAAACAGCAGCAACTTTAACATGGTCCTGCAGGAGTATCATGTTGGTCACCATGGTCATTCTCATCACGGACACTCTCACGTTACAGGTACGCTCCTCTAGCTAGATATTGTGCTCAGGCTAATGTTAGAGACATGAAGTGTAGGCAATAATCATGAAAGAATTTTGTTATTTCACAGTAAAGTCATATGGAAGGGAAATAATCTATCTTTTTCATAAAGTTATGTTCGGATTCTTTTCAAATTTTGTCGTCATTACTTGACAAATAATTCCCATTGTCAGGGACAGGAGCCCCTGTATGTAATCTTATTTAGGTCCCCCTAGACCAGCTATTGACGTTCCCCAGGATGCAACCTACAACATTTCTGTTGTAGTTTTTTAACGGGTCCCGGTAGTACAGTCGGGTTTGTTCTCAACCTACAATCGAGAATTCTGGGTTCGAATCCCAGGCGGGACAGAAATGGTTGGGCACATTTCCTTTCTCCTAATGCCTCTGTTTACCTAGCAGTAAGTAGGTACTCAGGAGTTAGTCAGCTTGTTGTGGGGTTATATCCTGGGTGGGGTCGGTAAGTTGACCTGGGGGGAGGGAGGAGGGGGGACCTTGATATAAGCCTAATGTGTATGAATACACTGGCTTCCTGTCCCCCGACACAATGAATTATTATTTTTGAATTTGCCTAACCCTGGAGGTTTGCCTAACCTCCAGGGTACCTGTTTTATTGCTAGGTGAACAGTGGCATCAGGTGTAAAGAAATGTGCTCAATCATTTCTTTCCACCCCAGGTATTAAACTCTGGGCCCCTCAGATGAGAGCTGAAGATGTAGGCCACTGCTAAATGATGCTAAATATTTGGGGTCAGCCAATTAAAGTTAACATGAGAAGTTTAGAGCCATATTTACAATAAACACCAATTACATTTATGTGGCTGTTTTTAGGCATATTATATACACCTTATAGAAAGTGTAAGAGAGGAAAGATAAGCTAATATACAATGAAGTCACAAGAATGTGATTACTATCCGTGAGAAAGTGTTGAGGCCGTACGATGTGATTGAACCCGCATCCTTTAACTCCTCAGTTACGCCCCACTATGGTAGTATGTGTGCCTGAGAAGTTCAGGGATGTAGGTTCAGTCCCAGTGCATGGCTTCAATATTTTCTTATGTGTTACTGTGTTATCTGAAAAAAATTGGGAGGTTTGGAGTAAACTCATTCCAACTCATATTTGAGAGGATGAGGCAACATTGGTATTGGATATCATTGGTATTTGAAGGCATTTAACAGTTATATGCCAGACAGCTGAGTGGACAGTGCTTTGGATTCGTAGTCCTGAGGTTCCGGGTTCGATCCCCGGTAGACACGGAAACAAATGGGCAGAGTTTCTTTCACCCTGATGCCCCTGTTACCTAGCAAATAAATAGGTACCTGGGAGTTAGACAGCTGCTACGGGCTGCTTTCTGAGGGTGTGTAACAAAAAGGAGGCCTGGTCGAGGACCTTGCTGTGGGGACACCACGCCCCGAAATCATCTAAAGATAACTCAAGATAACTCAAGGCATTTTGAAGTCTAATTTAAAGAATTGTTTCCTTTAAATGCTATATTAATCTATGTTTTGGCCTACTCATGTTTGTGCCACCTCTTGGGTGGCTTAATCATCAATCCTCAATCTGTTATCTATCATTTCATTACAAAATACTGTATATTAATTCAATTTACATGCCGTCATTTCATGTCTTTGTCTTGTATCTAGGTCGTAAGGATTCTCTTCGAGCCATGATATTGGTAGGTGATGCTCTGCACACATTTTTGGATGGCATGGCTATTGGAGCTGCCTATGGAACTAGTGTAACAGGCGGAGTAGCAACTTCTATTGCTGTCTTGTGCCATGAGCTTCCACATAAAGTTGGTAAGTATTAATAGCATAACAAATTGTTTTGCTGTAAGCCCAGTTGATAGAAAGTGCAGTAGGTAGCCAGGTACAGTACTTGTCTTGCAGTTGAGGGATGAACACTTCTCATGCAAACTTAATCAAGATAACTGCTGTTGATGTACCAGCATGTCAAAGGGCTCTTGTTTAACTCTTGCCTATATGGGTGTTTGGCCTTCATTATTTAAAGCTTCCAATAAGCCCAGTGAGAATGGGCTGGAGAAAGTGCAAGAGAGGAAAGATAAGATAAGCCTTAATAGTTGCCAGTGAAAAAAATTATCTTTATATTGAATTAAAATTTATGTATTATGTGATATGGTATTAGATTGGTTCGACAAGGTTTACCAAGAAAGCACTATCTGGGAAGCAAAAGGCATTTTGTGCTTGCCAGTGACGCCTTTCCTAGGGTTCACTCACTCTGCACTCTTCATAATGTGCGCTTAAACTTTTTTTTTTTTTTTTGCAACTTGTTTGGGCTTGACTTGTTGAGACAAGTCTTCAATCCTGGATAAATGTGTTTGTCTGAAGATAAACTGAATATGATTGTCGAGTCTCTGTCCTTCTTTCACCTCTCCTGGGGGGTTAGGCTCACTATCACAAATGCTGCCTTACCTTGCAGTTATCTTATGCGTTGATTCGGGGCGTCGAGGTGTGTAGCAAGGTACCTTGCTACTGTGTGATTCACCAAGCACTATTTGAAGCAACTTGTCTCAGATCCTGGATGATAACACTTGCTTACCTATGGAATCCTGCTTTTCTCGAAGCATCTCGTGTACACTATGTAAAATTTCTTTTTCACTCCGATCATGAGCCAGGATTCGCTTCTTTGGTAGTCAACTTGCATTGTCAGTGCTCCATCAAAAATAACTTGTCTGAGAGGTTTGGGTTCCTCTGTGAACTGACTCCTCTTGAGTCACTTTGCTTCCAGGTAGCACACAGAATGTGCTTTTTGCTGTAAGCCCAGTTGATAGAAAGTGCAGTAGGTAGCCAGGTACAGTACTTGTGTTGCAGTTATGCCTGATGCTGTTCCTAGTGCAGCTCTGAGGCTTTGCTCTTTTTAGCACTGGAGTCGCATAAGTGATTGTTCTTTTCTGTGGGTGCCTACATCTTTTCCCACTAGATGTTTATGGTTGGGGTGAAGTTTGTTCATTCAAGATGCTTCTTTCATGCCTGGCATGCCTACCTGCCTGAATGGCAGCCAGGTGGCTCACTTCCCTTGTCCCTGTGTTTTTTATGTCTTGTTTACATTCTAGGTTAGGTTGTTTTGGATTTCCTGTCAGTTCCATATCTGACTGCAGGTTACAGTGGCCAGAGTTTTTTCTCCTCTGTAGGTAGGGCTGCTCTTTTTTTTTTTTTTTGCTCTGGTGAGATCCTGCTTGCCTCTGTCCTGTCAAGCACTGTGATGGCCCTATTTCCTATGGCCTTTGCCTTTGTGACTATTAATATTTCAACAACCTTTGTGGAATCAGTTTTGACGTTGCTTTCTCTTCAAAGCACCAGTGCATTTTTGAGATGAGGCGGCCCAGCGGGCTGTGGCTCGTGTGGTGTTCACTTGTTTTCCATAGTTTGGCAGTCCCAACTCCTGAGGGGTTTTGCGGTCTTGCTATTTAAAGCCTCTTGTTCTGAATTGGATTCTGCATTTTATTTTGTATTTTAAATATCTTTGCCAGTATTTTTTTTTTTATCAGTGTGTGGTCTCAAGTTGGCAGGGTACTAGCTCTGGAAAGCATGGTCATTGTTGCCTTGCTTTCTTTGTGGGTTACTGCAGTGGTGTGTTGAATGCAAGTTTTTAGTGTGCAAAGTTTCCAACCATGTTGTTATTATGTATTTTTTTTAAATGTTAGTTACTGCTATTTTTATGGCTTCAATTTTCTGTTTACCTCTCATTTATATATCTGTACATTCATTGGTATTAAAATGCCTAAAAAAATGTTTTTTACTGTTGCTAATTATCAGTTGTATTTTCAGACTGTGTATTGTCACTTGTACTGTCCATCTGGTATATAATTAGTGTACTAATGATGTATTTCTTAATATTTTTTTGCTTGTTGATTATCTCTTGCATTTTTTTATTCCATACACTGTATAACTTTGTATTTGTTGCAAGATTTCTTCAACATGTTACTGATCTGCCATATTTCTATAAATTCCTTCAAAGAAATTCTTCACACATGTGCTAAAATTTGCTGCCATTCTGTTAAGCAAATATCCTAGTAGGAATAATTACTCTCAAGCAAAATCCACTTCTAATAAACTGATGTGCTTTCAACAGGAGATTTTGCCTTGCTATTTGAGATGGGTATGGATCAGATACAGGCTGTGAAGATGATGGCGATGCTGTGGGTCTTCAGCTTAGCCGGAGTTATCATGGGAGTTCTCTTGGGTTCCATTCCCACGGCTTCACCTTGGATTTATTCCTTCACCGCCGGAGTCTTCATTTACTTAGCCTTAGTAGATCTGGTGAGTTTGTCAGTCATACGGAAATAATAATAATTTGCTACTAACGTTAATCAGATTGCGTGAAGATAAAAGTTTGTTCACCTGATTTGGCCTGTGACTTGTTCTCAACATCTAACTAATTAATGTTAACAGGTGTAGCTTGGTAACCTCAAGCTGGATAGATTATTTATAATCTCAGATATTTTATTGCTGCATTAGATATTGAGTTGAAATAAGAAAAGAAAGGCAGTATGTGGTGTCTTGCCCTTTGCCAATGTACCATATTTGCCTATGGATAGGATCCATGTTTTTTTTGTTGACCACCCATCAAATATATATTGTATTTCACATGCACAAAATCATGTCTTCTTCCCTACAAACCCACTTGAAAAATCACTTTCAATAAATGTATTATAAAACATACTACATACAATTTTTATTAATTTTTTACACTAAATATCATTGTAAATTAGTTGTGTGTGATATGTCGGCAAATGCGGTAAATATTTTCTCTCAAACTGGAAATAAGATACAGGTGCAGACGATGAGTCACAATAACATGGCTGAAGATTTGAAGACTAAATCACACACCAGAAGATGAGGAGACGACGTTTCGGTCCGTCCTGGACCATTATCAAGTCGATTGTGATCGACTTGATAATGGTTCAGGATGGACCAAAATGTCGTTGTCTTCTCATCTTCTGGTGTGTGGTTTAGTCTTCATAAGATACAGGTAACTACGTATCAAAATGTTGCTATTTATAGCTAATTATTATTTATCTTCAAGTAATCCTCTTCACGTTTTGACAGTTTTTTTCTTTATAGTTGCCAGAGCTCTCTGTGAATCGTGGTGAGGAATTTGGAGTAGCTGGCCAGTTGTTAATTCAAGGCCTTGGGATGTTTGCTGGTGCTACCATCATGCTCTTCATTGCCATCTATGAACATGACTTGGAAGATCTTCTCAAGAGTTCGTTTTAGTGGAATTATAATCTGTGACGTGCAGAAATGTGGTGATTATGTGCACGCTTCTGCATTTATATACGATAATCGATGGAAAGATTTTGTAGTGGATTGAATTTTAGTAGATTGTGATGGCTTGTACTTTACAGTGAGCATTACTGGAATCCTCCAATATGAGGCCACTATTTTCTATAGGAGAAATTATTATCTCCTGTAAAACTGCTCATAGAAAAAGGTTTACATAGTGTGACGCTACTCCTTTTTAGATGAGATGGGTTTACCGGTTGTAAGACCCAAAACGTTAGGAACAGCTGGACGTAAGGAAACTTCCTTGATACACTGGCAACTAACATTCCAATGAACTACCCGTTAGAAAGAAATTTGATCTCTGCAAAACTTTTCAGTACTGAAGATGTACCTGTGCATAGTTCTGAATTTTACATTCTTGAAAGTATACTCAGCTGTTCATCAAACGGGCAATGTGAATGACACACTGATATTAAGACATTCAAGAGAATTACTTAATTGTAGTGCAATAACTAGGCTTTACAGAGTAAATTTGATTTCATGTTATATAAACAAATAATGATAAAAATACTGTATATCTAGTAAATCTGCACACCAGCAGTTAACTAAAACATTTTGATTTCTATCAATATAAGTAGTAGAGGTATTTTCAGCTGCATTACGTAATATAAATATGAAACAAATGTCCCGTCACAGCTTATTCCTCACCCAGAACCGGGAGAACAAAGACCACCGTAGGAACTTACCCGCACCATAAACATGAGATAGATATGTTGTTATTTTAAGGTAAGCTTTTATTTTGACTTGAGCTGGTGTACTTTGATCAAGTAAATAACAATGTAGAACGTGATGCATAGTGACTTTACAATGCTTGAGGGTTTCTCAAAGGGTCTAGTTTTAGGAAATGAAACAACTCTTCGAGTGTGTCTTGCCACTTAGTTATATGTACTGAAATTTGTATTTTTTTGTGTGCGTTATATTACTTTATCATCAAATAATAATAATAACAAAAAGCACACAGCTATGTATATAGCTATATAAACAGCAATTTATATAGCTCTATCATATAATTTGGTGTTTGTTCGTGTTTGAGAAATATCTCGCAAATATCTTACAAATAAAATATTAGTATTATTATTATATTATTTGGGAAAACAAATATATATGTATAAGTTCGTGTTGGAAGTGAGCATATTCTTTCAGTTTTTATTTACAATGATTATCATATGTTCTTGATGAGTAATACATTACGGTCAGTATTTTTTAGAAATCACTTGCAGTCTAAATTAGCGATTTTGTTTAAATAATTCAACAATCATTCTATTTATTTAAAAAAAATTGTTTAATAAAACAAAAAAGTGTGATTTTATGGGTGCTAATTTTATATTTGAACGTGCTTGATTATTTAAATAAGTAGAAGTATAAATGGAAACTGTCAAATATAAATCATTTGCTGTTTGTCACATTAAGAATTAGATTATAGAAACGAAGTGGAAATATATATATTTGCAATATATATTTCCAGTCCTTTGGCATGCTATGAAAAGGAAGTCTTCATGCACCCTTCAGCCAACACTCAACTTGGTAGGACGAGAATTATCAGTTAGGACAGTTGATGAACCTCGTCCTTCCATGTTCGTCTGATATTCTTCCACATGAGCTACAACGCTGGAGAGACACAGGGCTCTGGTAACCAGATTAGGATTTCGGGGCTTTTGTCTTGGTGATCAGAGGTAAAATATTTCAAAACCGTTTCATTTTACTTAGATATTATCAAATGTATACTATAGTGCAGGTATCAAGAGATGTAATAATTTATACTCGCAATAAATGTGATGATCGGATACGTAATTTAAAAAAAAAGAGGGTAAAATCAGTAATATTTAATTAAACGTAGTATTTCAGGCCAGGAAGAGCATTTTAATTAAAAAGTGTCAAATCATGTAATAACCACTAGGAAAGAACTGCATTGTGATATTTTCGTTATTGGTCCACAGTGTATTTCCTGCTTTTGCATTGGCCTTGTTCTGCTGTCATGTGAAGTTTTTGTGTATGCGGGCTGAGGTAATCCGTGTCTTATTTTTTTTGTGCATTCTTTTTCTCATAGCCTTAAGGTGTTATGAGCTTCACCTCTGTGATAGTCAAGCTGTCTTTAAGAACAACCGGGTGTGATGTACATGTAAAATTGCCAAGCTGGTAATTGGCTGAAATATTTGAGGAAAATTACATTTGTGGTAATAAATAAATAAATATATTATATATATATATATATATATATATATATATATATATATATATATATATATATATATATATATATATATATATATATATATATATATATTTTTTAATATATACACACTGTATATATATATATATTTTATATATATGCAACAACGATCACAAAAACACTGATCCAAGTACGCGGAAAAACCACATGTGAAAAATAGAGAATGCTTAACACGTTTCTGGCTTAATTCGCCTTCATCAGAACAAAGTAGAATGAAAGAGCTACTTCTACTTTGCTCTGACGAAGGCGAATTAAGCCAAAAACGCGTTAAGCATTCTCTATTTTTCACATGTGGTTTTTCTGCACACACACACACACACATATAATATATATATATATGTATATATAAATTTTCTGGATTAATTTGCATAAGCATTTGTAACAAATATTTATGATGGAAATAAAAGTAAATTAGCGAAGATGGATTGTTAAATTTAAATTAGACGATGTTGGTTTTGGCATCCACCATCTTCTCACTTAGATTGGTCTAATGGTCTACATCTCTGTTTGCAAGTTTTTTGTGGAGAAAAATTGGCAAGCAGAGCGGTAGAAGGTTGAATTATTGAAGGAAGTAGGTGGTGGATGCCAAAACCAGCAATAGTTTCAAAGGGTTATATGACAAAGATTATAGGGTATATTATAGGATTATAGACACCATGAGTGTAACTCTTATCCTGTAACTACATTTGGCTAATTACATATAGTATGTTGTGGGAACAATGACTATGGAACTTGTATTCAACTATGATTGCACCAAGTTTATGCTTGGGCTGTATTCCGAGATTTTTTCGTACTGAGGTTCGCCTCTTGAGCTCAGGGACTCCACCATTCAGCAGCTAAGTCACAGTCAGACTATTCAGGGGGTCGTTCTGGTCATTTGGTCTGCGTGCCAACAACTCGCTTCAAAAGAACGTGTTAAGCTTGCAGTCTCTTCTATGCATGTTGATGAGAGTTTTGGAAAGGTCTTGGACTCTGGATGGTCACTATGTAATCTCTTGTTTTGACACTCTGCATTTCTTAGGATGTATATTCATACTGTATTTTCCCTTGTCTCATGCTAGCATAAGAAATTACTGTACTGTATTTAAATTTCCAGATTTGGGAACCAATGTTTCAAAATACAATAATATATATATATATATATATATATATATATATATATATATATATATATATATATATATATATATATATATATATATATATATATATATATATATATATATACTGTATTATGATGTATTTCTTGTAATTGTCTGGTGTCTCAAAGGTAAGATTTTTCAACCATAATTACTATGTGTTACTATTATTCTGTGTTACTATTATTAATTACTATTATTCTGTACTGCTTAAAAAATTTAAATATCAACCTGACATACATATTGATATGCAGTATAGCATTTACACTGTATTGTAATTAGTGCTCCCTTATATTCTCTACTTTTATAAAAGTGGCTGAGATTTGCAAATAATTTTTAGCCTTTTGAATTGTTTTCAAAATAGAAAAAATGGATCATGTCTGCTTAACAATTACTGAAAAGTATTTGTAAATTTCATATTACTGTTATGCTTAGAAATATATGTATAGTTTCGAAAGGTTATTTATCTATCAACTATCCATTTAGTCTACTATGCAACATGACTGAGAGGAGGTTATTGTGCCTGGGAAAAAAAATATGTTATGTCAAATATTCGTAACTTTGTGTTGATCACGATAATTCACGAAGCACGACTAAATTTTCTTTATAAACATTTAAAAATGGGAAAGTTATATGAAAAGTCAAATATCCACCATTTTACATGGATATTTTGCTTGGCATGCAATTTGATCACAAAGGAAATTGAAAAATATCTTCATCGAGTTGAATTGCCAGATTTCTTTGGGTTCAAAGAAACTAGTAATAAATTTGACAATATTTTTATACATAGTATATCAACATCTTTGTGTTATATTTCCTATTTTGGTAGCAGCCTCTATAGCGCCACTTCCTATTCCATTTGATAAATAAATTTATATTTTTCAATATTTTGGACTTAAAAAAATTCACATATGCTAGGGTGCCTAAGGCAACTTAATATGTAATCACTAGAATGTTTTACATGCATCTTTATATATTTGGAAAATATAAAGAGTAGTTCTGAATTAATTAACTGGAATAGCTACTTACGAGAGTGAACAGCAACATAAGAGTGTTAACAATAGCTCCTGTGAAAAGTGAGGATGCACTAAATATAGTAAGTCTCCCACTTAATACAGTAAATCTCCCACTTAGTACAGTAAGTCTCCCAATTAATACAGTAAATCTCCCACTAAATACAGTAAGTCTTCCACTTAATGAATTTTAAATCACCTAATATGAGTGTCCAGGACTCTAGGCTGTTGCCTAGAGTCCTGTTGTGCTAGTCCTAGAGTGCATGTTGCCAGCGAATATCGTGCAAGAAGCTTAAAAAGACTAGATTATGTAATTATCGTGAGAAATACAGAGAAAGAATTACTATTGGTAAGAGAGTACCTAAAGACTGATAGCACTGCACTGACAGTCTGGTTGACCAGGTGACTTTACATGGGGGTTTGACCTGGGGCTAAGCTCTGGTGGGAGTCAAATTACCGTGGACCCCTCACAATGTAGTGTAGCATCAAGCAGGTCACTATAATATTTTCATTATACTGTATTGTGGTTATTAACAGTTTTTTGTACAGGAATGTTATTAATACATGAAAACAAGCTTCCTGGTGTGTATCTTAACATTTATTACATGTTTAATAAGCAAAAAAGTTGACTTACCAGGCAAGTTCTTCCCATTCTGCTAATATTAATATTTGTAGAATATTCCATATGGAAATATTTTTTCTTTTGCATTATGGAAAACTATACATCTCTTATATACAATAATACAGAGAATGAGGCTCATATGTGACTTTACTTTACATCTGACATAAATCTACATATTCTGTCTCGTAATTTTTGTCTTTTACCTGTATTCATGTATGCTGCTCTGAACCACCAATTGAGCATAATTATATTTCATGCCGACCATGTGTTGACCTTGCATTGACCTTGCGTTGGTTCTGGGGGTCAAGATCCCCGCAGCCCGATCTCTGACCAGGCCTCCAGTCTATATTTATTTTCTGTACATATTGTGCTGCTTATTGGGTGTCCTGGGTTAGTTTATATCTTTCTTGTATTTCTTCTCTAATTCTTATTTTAAGATTTCCATCATCTTAAACATATCATATACTGTATTGATTTGAGAATTGAGATAATTACGTTATGGCAACTATTGAAATTGGTCAATGTACCTCACATTCAAGTGTTATTTTTGTGTTACCCTGAGGAAACCTAATGTTATTGACTTGAAACCAACAACACATGCTGTATGTGTTGTTGTGTATAAAACTAAGGTTCCTTTTATTGCTAGGTAGTGTATTCCAATAGTAGTGGTGTGTGTGTGTGTGTGTGTTTTTTATTTTATAATATGCTGAAATTTGTTTAGAATGCCTGATCATATTGACTTGAAACTTGTATCACTTTAAAATTGAACTTTCCTTCATTACTGGGCTGTGTAACCCAAAGGCAACTATTTTCTCTATTTTTTATCTTTTGAGAGAGATCTTTCTCATCATATCGGCTTCAAGCATCCAACACCTATTTAGGATCATCAAACCACACTTTCTATTTATATTGGATAGTGTAGCTATAGTAAGTCTTTGTAGTATTATTTTAGTGTAATATGTACCAGATTCATACTATCAACGGTGAAATCAGAGAAGCAAAATATATGTTCATCCCAAAGTGAGGGAACATCTCTTTATTGTATTTTCACCATCTCCACAACAATGTGCACGCTTCATCCCAACCTCACTGTGACTTCCACCCACATTCAAACACCACACAACCATCAACACTGCCACACCCAACCACCACACAACCATATTCAACAGCTAACACCTCCACCCATACACCCACCCTGCCAAAAGCCATACTGAATATCCCAAGCACATCCAATGATCAACCACGCAACCACTCGCCATATGTATGCCCACCAACAACATTAATCACACCCTGTCATCACAAACCATATGCTCGCCATCATATACACACATACTAACCTCACCCACTTAATAGCTCAACATCTGACCCTACCAACCAACTGCCCATCCCATCCACACCCACCAATTCAAGGCGAAAACAAATTAGCAACTACCACACGGTTAAAACCGACAAACCCAACACTGAACCACTGCCAATCATATTTGCAACCCCAACCCACACCACAAACCATGCCCAATATCAACCACAAATGATATTCAAACCCCACTCACACCCCCAAACACCATATGCTCAAAACCACTAATAATATATATTTTTGTGTATTGTGGGATATGCCTGGCATAGGAATTGGGATACCTTCTTCAGTTAATAAATATAAATTACTGTAATATGTTATAAATGTGTTGAATATAATAATATTCCACTTTTTGTATAGAGCCGACAGAGGCTCCACATGCAAATGTCTAGTTTTGTCATTCTGCATCTCTCTTTTCTTTTATTTATTTATCACACTTTTTTTTTGCATATTTTGTTTGCTGCTCACACATGTATAGATTTAATTTGTAAAGCATCTCAAATGCCTTTTGGTTTGCAGAACATGAAGGCTAATGCCAAAGTAAAAATGTTTTAAATGAATTTATACGTTTGTAAATGTTGGCTAAGCATTCTGCAAAGTGTTTAATTGAGTTACATTTGGAGTTGCATACAAATGTATGCCAGTTATGCACTATAATGCTTGCAACACCTGTATGTATTTTATTTTAAAATAGAGTATTATAGTACTGTATCTTGTTATCAACTCTTGGTAAAAATTGAGAATTATCATGCGAGTTTGGTCGGCCATTGGTGTAATTTTTTTTATATTATGCTGGTATACAGAAGTTCACAGCACATTTCTATTGAAGACAAAATGCATGTACTGTACTGTACTTAAA